AGCATTCGTCCATTCCGAGCCCGTTAGAATCTTCTTGCAATTTAAAAAAAATAAATGAAATATTCCATAGAGAAACATCAACTTTTACACTGGATGCTGAAGGCATTTTGAAAATGTAAAGTTTTGTACCTAGGTCTATGAAATTACCTATTTTTTATTTACAAAAAAGATTTTTTTTTTACTAGTCTTGGTCTTGGTCATGGAAAGAGCAAGGCCAAGACCGATTTCGGGTAATAATTATTAGCGGATCCATGATGTCATTTTAGATGGATTTCAGGCCAAAAGATTTTTTTTTTTAAATACAACGATAATTAGTTACTGACGAAAGAAACTAACTACCTGTTGCAAATAGCGTTTCAGTGATTTTTGAAATCCTATTAAATGTAATTAAACGAACAATAATTCTTTAAGAGATATTTTTTTAATATTATCTATGGTAGTAATACTTCACCATTTTGTGGAGGGAGTTTCAGCCCGAAAGTCCCTCTCCTGTGCTTGAATCCTATGAGCCGTGATTCCTGTGAATAACTTTGTGATGTTACCCCCATACCAGACTGAAACGACTTGAAACCGGCCGACGTTTTCGACTACTGCAGCACTTACTAGACAAACGCTCTAAGCTCACAATCAATTACAAACGACTCATATATATGACAATAATAAGACCTATTTGGACTTACGGAATTGAGCTTTGGGGCTCCACTAAACCATCGAATTCCTCTCGTATCCAATTCTTACAATCCAAAATCCTTCGTAAAATCCTCAACGCTCCTTACTTTGTCACAAATAAAATCGTCCATAAAGACCTTAATGTTCCAGATATTTCCGATTTGGCCCAATCCAGATATCTATCCTTCCATAACAAACTGCAGAACCATCCAAATCCTCTCGTTTCAAACCTTGCTTCCTCCTCGATCCCTGATAATCCTCCGAGGCGTCTGAAAAAGAGATGGCCTCGTGATCTCCTCATGTAGACAAATTATTAGAGTGCTACCAATGGGAAAAGAAGATGGCCTCGGGACCTTCTAATATAGAACTTTAATTTGAGTTCTACCAATGGGTAGTTACTCTTCATGCAGTACATGTCATGTTACCAATGTCACATTTACTTATTGTATTTTCCATGTAATACAGTTGTAAATCTCAATAAAATAAAATAAAAAAAATAAAAAAAACTTTGTGATGTTATTTATCAGCGATATACGAGTAATTGTCTACCTCTTTATTGCCGTCTTTCTTATGCAGTAAAGTTTAAACTAGTAGTGAATGGGAATCCAGGGATTAAATTTTTGAAAACCTCATAAATGATTTTGTCACGGCCCGGAGATTTGTTGTTTCTACTTGCTTGGAAATGGTGAATCCAAAAAGAGATGGATTTTAGAAAAGAAGGGAGTTTCTTGGTGCAAGTTGCCAAAATCAAAATTTTGAATTTTTGAAGGCGGCACATTTCGACAGGGTTATGAATTTTTAAAATGAAACTTTAAGAACAAGGGACAAGGAGGAAACATGAAACAGAACGCAAAAAGTGTAATTGTATTTGATCTGCGATTTTTATAATTCCACCTGCCTTGGTTCCTTGGTTACCTTCCTATTTTTTTGAAACTGATTTATACTTGAGTATATAGTACTATCCAATGACGTCAACTGATGGATAGACAGTAACTTGCCCAAGGCAGATCAATAGGGAATTATTTTACATGATTATTTTTTATTCTAACCCTGGGATTATCTAAAAAAAATCTGTAGTTGTTGATTATTAAAATGACTCCGAAAACGTGTCTATTTCTAGGATTTGATCATTTATAATACAAAAACTAGATGAAATTCGATTAACTTTTATTTCGCACATCACATGGTAATTGTACATATTCATTAATTGCATGAGGTCACACACACCTCATGCAACACATAAGGTTACATCTTAGTGTAGCCACCCTTAACACCAGCCCTATTAATATAGTACTTTATTTTTAGTTTTTTTACAATTAATAAAGAAATTAATACAAACACTAAAACATTATATATTACATTATCAAACCTATATCACAATACAAATTATATATCAGCAATTAATACATAAATCAGTATAAGGAAAAATAATCAATGACATATAAATTATAAAATTATTTAAAGAATTGCAATAAAATAAAAATACAATTATAAATCAAGCCGCTGAGGTTTTTATGATTGTGAGACAATAATGCGATACAACGGAATATTCAATCATTTCTGAATTGCAGCAGTTATCTGTAACAGTGGAGGTATGGTTATTATCTAGAATAGAGCTGTTGACATTATCTTTACCTATAGTAGCTCAAAAATTGTGTCCCTAAAAAAATTACTACTGTGGTTTTCATTAAAACGAGTGTATACAACACCCTTGACTTTTTAATAAAAACTAAATTTCTTCTATACAACTTTCCTCCTAGTTTCGCAATGTCTGATCTGAAATTTAATTCTTTTACAATGACTCCAACTGACCATAATTTATTAAATTTGTCTTGAAACAATCCCTAGTCACGTTCAACAAACTCCTCAGGTCTTATGCAATGTTGATAAGCTCTAATAAACTCGTACTTTTATTGTCTTTGTTATATAGTTTATAATCACTAATATTTTTTGGTAAAAGATGGTGATCGCCAATTGGTAATTTCGTTCTTATGATTCTGCTTTGGAGGAGCTGGGATGGAGAGTATTTGAATCCTGCGACAGGGAAGTTTCAATAATTTAATAAATACAGTTCTATATCATCATTTTCGTAACATTTTTTCAAAATAGATTTCACCACACCAACCGCCTTTTCATCGAGGCCACTACTTTTTGGGTATAATAAGGGATAGAGATAATTCTAAATTCAAATGAGCTGAAAGGATTATTATCAGCTATCACAATCTTTGGGATTCCAAAAGAGGCAAACTTAGATTTAATTCACTTCATTATTGTTGTGGAAGATTTATCCTTCAATTGGCTTAATCCATCTGGAATAGTAATCTGTGACAACTAGATAATATTCACTACTGAATTCAAGAAAATCCATTCCTATCTTATTAAAAGGGATTGGTGGAATTTCATGACGAATGTGGAAGCAAAGACTCTTTAGTTTTGGAACTTTGAAATCTGTGGTATACATTACATGTATTTACAACAGTTACATCTTACATAACTCTAGGTCATTAGAAGAACTTTTTAACCGTATCCTTAGTCTTATGAAGCCCAAGGTGTGTTTCATGAAGTAAGTGAAGAATTCGTTTTCTATAAGTAGAGAGAACAAGCAGCCTATCTTCAAGATAAACTAATCCATCTTCAGCTGTAACATCATTTCTCATTTTATAATAATGATTGAGGTCCCCTGACTCATGCAACGACTTTGGCCACCCTTCTATATAATATATATATATATATATATATATATATATATATATATATATATTTTTTTTTTTTTTTTTTGGTTCTTCCCTACCTCGCCATTTAGGCTATACGGGATTTCCCCGGGCCGGAGGGTGAGGGCGGGGGAATTTAAAATTCCCTTCGGCACCGGGACGCGAACTCGTACTTATTTTTGTCTATCAAAACTTCATAAATCTGGTTGCCGGGCAACTCGCGGTGCTGTGCACACGCTTTAGCCCATTCAGCTACCCCGCCCCCTCCTTCTATATAATATCTCAAAATCGCACTTAAAACTGCATCATACACAGTTTCAATTTTGAAATTTTTCAAATGGGTACCAGAGCAATCAAACTGAACTCCCACGGCATGTATCACATCCCTCATTGATTCATCATCCTCAATATCTTTTTTCAAGAAATTTCTATAAAGCAGGTCAGCTATCACCATTGAATTGTCAGGCAAGTATTTCAAATCAAATCTATAGAGTAAGAGTTTTAACCTGAGACGTTTAAGCATATTATTTTTTTTTCCAAATCTTTAAAAATAATTGAAGTCAAAGGGGAATGGTCAGTATATACCGGAACATCAGCATGACCATAAACATAATTGTAGAATGTAGAAAATGCGAATGTACTTGCTAACAATTCTTTCTCAATTCGGGCATACTCCTGCTCACAAGAGGTCAAGGCCATGCTGGCATACGCGGAAATTACAAAGAAAAGGAAGGGAAATTAACTCGGAGAGGGGTCACTGGGTGCAAGGAAGTGATGACAGGGACGAGTATCTTGTCGGCCCATGGATGGGCAAAGGATAGGTGTGTAAAAAGCCCAATATTTTCTGTACATTCTTGACATTTCTTGGGTAAAAGATGTTACTTGTACATATTCATTAGCTGCAAGAGGTTACGCATACCTGTAAGGTTACATCTCAGTGTTGACACCCTTAACAGGATTAATTAAAACACAGTGATAGATTCAAAAATAATTCAGACGCATAATATTTTATCATAACTATAATTAATTAATATGATAAATTGTCTAAAATGTGAAACCTCTCACCGATGATCTCGAAAAGAGGAGACAGCCCTCTGCAGACTAAGAATTGAACATTGTGAGTTCTCGCATTCCTACCTACTAAGAGGACTTGATCCTCCGACCTGCAAGAGCTGCAATGTCCAAAGGACTGCAAAGCACATTATTCAAGACTGCCCTTCATTTGAACCTACAAGGAAGAAGTTAGACATGGCACAGAGTCTATAACAAAATCTACAAGACAGTGGAAGCGCAGTCAAAAAAACTTTAAGGTTTTTAAAAGAGATAAAACTCTACAACAGAGGCAACAAAACATCAAATAAATAAATAAATAAATGTGATATTCCTCTATTCAAAATTAAATGAATAGAGGAATATTGGAACTAATAAATAAATATGGATTTAAAATATCTCTTCTATTTACATTTTCTATTTCGTGTTAGTAATGGAAATAAAAACTAGATATTTACCAAGAATATTTTAATATTACCACAATATTTAACTCATCTTTAGCTCTGAAATCAATTGAATTTTCTGTAAAACCTAAATGAGACAATTTGTACCTTTCTTAGACTAGAGATTATAAAATAAGGTGGAACATCTCGTATCTGTTCATAAAACTTTTGAGAAAATCAATAATTTGTGCATTAAGCGAATTGAAACATCACTACCGTGTAAGTTGAGACTGCTGCTACCATCTGAGAACAAAGCATAGAAAAATTATTTAAGCAATAAATATAAATAACAAGTAATTACAAATAATTGTAATTGCGATTACTTGATATCATTCTAATTTTAATTATGTTCCCCAAAAACAATTAACAGTTGAGTCAAATAAATCAAAATTACCTACTAGAATGTACATGAATTACGTAATCATAATTTATAACTGTAAGATGGGGTTACTTAGGCACCGGGTTGGTAACTTTGAAGCAGCAGGTAAAAATTGGTTTGTGGTGATTCCGTGGAGGATACACTGTGTTGCTTTAGTTTGCAAAAACTTGCTTTCTGTATGCATGTTCTGCGCTACTATCTTGCGGCACAAGCGAAAGTTTAATGAAAACAATAATCATGTAATAACTTCGTCCAGACCAGCTAACTTGCCAATCGCTTAGAATACATTTTTCTTGCTGATAAAATGGTATTCACCATAATAAACCTGCTTAATACCATTAGACTGATCCAGCATTTTGACCCTCTTTTAGCAGCATCTTGAAATATTATGTTCATCTGTCTACTATATATTCGTTTAGCCATATAATGGTTACTGATCCTTGTTTTCTTTTCCGAGATTTTGGCACTTCCTTTGTCGTTCCCTTAATGTATTTTCCAATGTTTGGGTTCAATTTCGCGTTTTCCCTCACACTAAATACTAACAATCAGTTCCAGTTACCTAGAAGAACTTATAGCTTAGCCCTTTCCATCTTTCTTTGTGCAGAGGGAATAATGCATTTAATATTAAAATTTCTTATTTTTTATAATATAGTCCAACTTCTGAACAAAATAAAGGAAATAAAAATGATCTTTTTAATAGCGATATATGAATTTTACTGAACAATCCATCACCTATTCATTATATGTAGTTCAGATTATATATATATATTACTTTAGTTTATAAAACAGGTATTAATACGACTCATTTCCGGGGAGTTATATACAATTTAAATTACCTCTAAGAATCAATAAATATATAAAACAAAGTGTTAAATTGCTAACATTAAATAAAAAATTCAAGATATTCAGCAAAGTATTTTTGAATTAAGTTTTATTTTAATAATTATATAATTTTCATAATATAGGCCTTCTCAAATGACCTCCGTATAGAATAAAGGAAGATAAATTAAAAAAAAAATAATAATAATAAATTTTAAAAAAGCATGTTTAAATTTTTTTTGGCAATTAAATTATTGTATTAATATTTGTTCGTTGATACAATCACTATAATGTAACAAAAACGCTATTATAGCACAATAATTAAGCCATTTATGAGTGATGAATGGTGTGGTAGAGGCCTGAAGGCACCTACGCCAGTACCGCTTTTTTGCCGCTTATGTGCATTTTCTACGGAATTACTTCAAATATTTTAAAAATTAAACAGTGTTTTAGAAAGAGAAATGTATCCTCCAGATGTTTTATTTCAGCACGTTTTACGTTATTGTTGGCCGTTTAATTACAAACGACACTTGATTTTCAACTTGAAAAATGTTTTGTTCAAAAAAGTGACTTTACTATTTTTTTTTACTGCCTAAGACAACTATTTTTTCATGTTTTGTTATTTTCTGACCCCAGGCCCCAGGGCCGCTACGAACCCCCCTAGACGAGTACAGATAGGATGTCGGAATCCGTATAGGGTATATAAATACGCTACCTGGTGGGAATTTCCCCACCCTGTCCCTGATACGAGGAAAAACGCCATATAGCCTAAAAGGTGTAAGGAAGGAGATAACACCAAATAATAATAATTATTTTGAAAATACATTGTTAATACTATACTTTGATATGGTTTAACTGTTATGGTTTAGTCATGGATACATTTTAAGTCTTAAATATTATTTATTATTTTTGTATTGAATAATTATAATCTCTAAATTACCGAGTATAGTAAGGTGTAGTCCAGGTTGAAGAGACCACAGGCAGTGAGGACTACTTCTCTCTTCACGGCGATATGGAGTTGAAGCTTTTCCTAAACACAGATCAATTAATGCAATATTAATACTAGGACAAACTAACACATAATGTAAACTGTTTAATGTATACTAATGTCTACTTTATCAATATCAACGATGGCAAAAGAACATCTTTGTTTCCAAAATTCATTAGAAATTCTGAATTTAAAAAAAAAATATATATATATGTATGTATATATATATATATATATATATATATATATATATATATATATATATATATATATATATATATATATACATATATATATATATATACATACATACATGTATATAGTGCAGATACCTCACGCACAATTAATAGTTCTGTCAATTCTTTTTTTTTTTTTTTGGGTCCTCCCCTTCCTCGCCGTTAAGGCTATACGGGGTTTTCTCGGGCCAGAGGGAAATTTAAAAGACGCCTTGGCACCGGGACGCGAACTCGTTACTATTTTTATATCATTAATCTTATATCAGGTTGCCGGGCAACGGTGGTGCTGTGCACACGCGTTAGCCCATTCAGCCCACTAGTTCTGTCAATTTATAATTATAGAAGGAAATGGCGGGGGCCCAATTTTTGACATTTGACGGGAGCACAATTGTTTCGACTAGTAAGAAGGAAAGTGCCCTCACTAAAAGTCCCCACTCCTAGATGTGGAGAACTCCTAGAAGGACACTTTTTACGGGATTTCGCTTATATCAGGAAAGATATTCATCGCATTGACAAAAATGTTTTAGACAAAATTAAAACTGATAAAATTTTCAATATGATTGATAATATATCTTAGTTTCCGAGATATTGGTCCTGAGCCATCGCTAATGTGGAAACAGAATATTTTTACCTCATGTTTTTTACTAGCTAACTCTTGATTGTTTCGTTGTAAGATTAAGTCATGAAAAAAAAGTTTTTAAGAATTAAATTTTCTTCATGAATATATATATATATATATATTATTTTACTGCTTTATCATCAACGGTTCAAAAGTAATTATAACCTTACATGTCAATTTCGAGAATATGTAGAAAACAAATAATTGTATATAATTAAAGTTATAAAAAAATATCCAGACAATAAAGCATAGATTTTTACATAAACTATAACGAAAACAGTGCAAAGCGGTTCCATTCTTTTTTGTATCTAAGATCCCCAACAGCCACCATTCCCAATAAAACTCCTTCCTCTCCCCTCTTACTAACTCGTGGTATTCCTCAGGGATCTTCGCTCTCTTCAACTTTTCTCTCCATCTATACTAATGACCTTCCGGATTTCATCCATAAATCACAACACCCTTTATATGCGGACGATCTTCCATCCTACCGAGATGCTTGAGGAGATCGGAAGGCTACTAGAAGATATTGGCACTATTAATGTCTGTACAGCGAACAATGATTTAAAATTGAATGTTGAGAAGGCCAAAGCCATTCTCATTGGATCCAACCATCTGATTAGCTTCATTTCTTATTATCCTCTACTCTACCTCAATGGGATACCCATACGTTTCCTCACTTCCGTAAGAAATCTTGGGGTTCCTGATATTCCGTGACTCTATGCCCCTTAAAATCCGTCAACTTTTCTCTCTCATTTTCCCCTACTTCGATTCTGGCTGCCTTGTATACGGTGGACTGTCTGGTGGGCTTGCGATCAGATTAAAGAGGCTAATGAATTGTTTCATTAGATTTAAAATTGGAGTCCCCAGCCGTTCCTACGTCTCCGGTTGGTATGCCGAGTTGAAGTGGCTCTATCCAGTTTTCCGACGGAATTCTTTTTCCGAACCTTTACAACCAAAAAACGTTCGTACCTTCTTGATTTCTTTACTCCTTGTTCTTCGTTGTTCATTCGTTCAACACGCGATCCCAATCCTCAAATTTGTTGATTCCTTCTCATAAAACTGTTTCATATAAAAAATCCTTTTTCCTTGACCTCATTTAAAATACATGAGCTCACCCGTATGTATTCATCTTTAAATTCATATGTCTACTTCAAGATAATATGTTTACGAAAGTGTCTTCTCTTTATTTTAATATTAAGGTTAGACAACTTTGTAAATTAATTTATTTTTAATTGTCATTAAATTATTCATAATCGCCAGACAATTGGCATTTCTTTGTTCATTATATTTATTCTGAGGGGACTATAACTAGGGTGGCGCGATCCCCTCCCAATCTCTAAAAGGTAAAAAAATGTGTTATCTTAAAAATCTATCTAAACAACCGGCACTTTTATTATTATTATTTTAATTGAATAAGGAATTGTATTAAATAAATATTTTTTATTTATGCTTTGTACTCAAAAACATATAATGATTTTTAAAAAATGAGTATTTATACGTAACATTCTTGATTTATTGGAGAAATGGTTAAATATTGTAGGTGGAAATATTTGCTAGAGTGCTTCGATTCCTTGGAAACTATTTTCAATTGAATTCATGGAAAACATTATGCAAAAATGTCAGGTATTTAGGTTCATAGAATTATCCGGTTAGGGAATTTTGACCGCCATTTTATGGCAAAATACTAGCCAAAATGAAAAATTAAAATACATATTTCTTTTTATATACATACGTATATACTATGTATACCTTTGGTTTATGGAATTCATCTGTTTCGCATGTGCGCCCCTCCCCCTCAGAACATTCCTGGTCCTGAATCCGCCTCTAGGTTCAGGTTAATGGAGCCTTGATCGATGAAATCCAATCAGTTAAAGTAAATCGATACGCGATTACGCAAAAATCTACAGCATTTTCAAAACTTCTCTTTCTCTTAATAATAATGGAACTCGATGTCAAAGAAATTTAAAAAATTGCACTGTTAACTCCTGTTGAATTAATAATTGGACTTTACAGGTAAAAATAATGCTAAAAATAGAAGGTACTCGAGAAGGTACTTATTGAACTGATCTATACTAATTAAAATATTTCGTTCTTTTACTCAGTAAGTTTTACCAATTTGCCAAGAATGTACTTACGCTGTCAAGAAGTGCTTTACTTTTATCCTTAATCATTATTTGGTATAGGAGAACGTTGAACTCCTTTGACTGAAACAGATAAGGTGAAGAGGTATCAAATAATTATGCTACATAAGACATTGCAATAAAATGGGATTTTTTTTTTCATATAAGGTATCATCATACATACCATTTCAGAAACATTTGTCCAACAATCGATTGCTATCGTGAAAAATGGAATCGATGAATGTAACAAAACACCCATACAAAGTTTAAGGAAGCTTAATCTGGCCCATACATAAGAAAAAATTGTTATCGTGAGACTCAGAAATTGTATAACAACAATATTCAACATTTGGAAACCATAACAACAAGAAAACTCCTCGATTGCAGAACAAAGCTGGTGATGTGCCTTGCAAAGTAAACTTAACCTCTCTGCCCGGCCAATTGTTTGATCAGGCTGTTCTCCCATGCTACGAAGGCAGTGCAAGATCCGTCTGAGCCTACTTCCCAATTCCTCCCCTAAAGCTGTACACTGGCCGCATCCTAACAAATAGATCACGTTCAGGAGTAAGAAAATTTTGGTTTCGCCTGCAGTTTTTGGTATAAAGAGCAAACTGCACTTAGACAATAACAACAATAGGTATAGCTTTCCATTCAACAAGCCATGGTGTGCATCCTCACTGATCCCGAAGGACTGCAGTGACGAATCAACTGTCCTAAGGCATTGTCGGATATTGCTCAATCTTTGGAAGCTCAGGAAATTAGTACAGAAATAAACTACGGGTTGCAGAAGGCTAAGTAGATAAGAAACAAGGAATACGTTTCTGTGGAATGGAACGGCGTAATCGATTCGGACACTAAAAACATAACTGATATTTACATAAATGTATATGGAGATAAAAAATATTGAGTAAATTGCAATAAAATACGATTTTCTTGGTTTTCCATTGACAAAAAAAATTGGGGAAATACCGAATACCGCAGAAATGGAAAATATAAGCTCAGTACACTTTTCGTAAGATATACTGAGTTTCTGAAAAATACTTGATCTAGAAGTCGTGCTCATGATGGCACAACTTAAAAAGAGATAAGATTCTTATAGCGCAGTAAGAATCGATCGCAGTAAATTATACAGCTATGTTGAGACATAATAATGAAAGCCCTACATCCTACCGACATCGTCAATATGACTGACTATATGGCTGAGAAAATAGAAATATATTGTTGCAAAAGATTTAACAAACCATTCAAACCCTTGTAAACTAGTATAAAGTTAATAAAAATCATCATATGTAGACGATGGTGTTCAGATTTTATCACATGGACATACCGTTCAAATATAAATGTATATATAACATTATGTGCTTGCAACTATATATATGTATACTATATTTCGTTCGATCCAAATGAAAGTTAATACAATACGTTTCTAGAGGATTAAATGAATATTAATGTCAATAATGATTTAATACACACAGACGTTCGTAATGATCTTTATAATAATAATGATCTTCATACACTTATAACGATATATAATACTCCCCACCCAGCCAGCATAAATATCTAAAAGATATGTTTTATAGTTATCTTTAAGATTTATTAAAAAAGGTATCTAACAGATGACTTTTTCTAGGTGGATAAAAGATGTCTTAAACTAGATGTCTTAAAACGTCTTGAATCGGATATCTAAATAACATCTTTTGCACGCTCAAAATTTTATAGTCTGCTCAAAATAACTATATAATCATATTATACTTTATTAATCTTAGCTCAGGTTTCATATGAAAAATAAGAGGTTCACATAAAAAAAAACCACTCATGTCATTTTTCCACATTATGCGATTGAAGCACTAATAAACTGCTATCCAGTTGAGCCCAGTGTTCCTCAAGATAGCGGTGATTTTGGTTAAATCCTTAATATCTTCTTTTCCGCTTATAGCTCTATCTATCCTGGAACCCTCCTGCCAACATTTGCTGACTCTATCTTATCATCCAACTTAGATCCTGAAACAGCAATCTACAAAGGCATCTCTCCCTAACTGAACTCTGGTGTAATAAACGGCGCATTAAAATTAACGAATCCAAATGCAAATACATTAGATTTACTATCCGACGCAGATCCTGTCTACTAGCCCGCTTTAATTCCATCCAGATTCTTTTTTCAAACACAGTACGGTGTCTGGGCTTTCTCTTAAGCTGAAGACTAACGTGAAACCCACATACTAAACTTAAAGACAAGACAAAGTTACCGACGATACGGCCAACTACACAGATTACTGAGTAGAAAATCTCAATTTTCAATTGACAACATGATCTACAAGACAATCTTGAAACCTATCAGGACCTACAGACTAGAACTTCTGGGGACAGCAAAATGATCGATCATCAAACGCATAAAATCCTTTCAGTCCAAAGTCCTCCGTACAATAGTCGATGCTCCCTTCTATGTAACCAATAAATCTCTGCATAATGACCTTAATATTCCATTTTTTCTTGATCTTATCCCAGCCAAATTTTCCAAATTTCACCAGAACCTTTCTCATCACCCAAATTCCGTTGTACAATCTCTATCAAGCACCACCCAACCCAGGGTGTTTTTGGAGTAAATTCTAGGATTATTATGCCCGGTGTAGAAGTACCTCACCTGATGTACCTATTATTGAAATTTTAGTTCCTATTCAAAAATAATTATATTTTTTAGTATATATTGTACATATACTTTAATATTATATTGTTCGTTTTATAATAATTATGTTGATTATGTTAATACTTATAATTTTTATATATCGCTATAGGTCCATCGCCCCTCCTCCCCCCCAACTAGAATGGAAAGTCTATTCTATGCTCATGAGCACCCATTCGCTTCCCACTTGAATCGTAACATCATCTGATCACGAAATCCAGAAACAAGGTGGCTTACAGAAATATTGGGTAGTTTGGCGTGACCTCCACTCTCAACATGTTAAAACAATGAGGTTATATAGGCAAAGCTGCCCATTATTATTGTGAAAAACCTTTTTAACTGTATTATGATTCAAGTGGAAAGCAAAGATCCAAAGATGTAGATGAAAGACGGGCCATGAACTAAAGAGGATATCTATCCATATAAGGCTCCATAGCTCCCGGTGACGGCTCGCTATATTATTCATGTCTACTTTCTCTTCACATATGGAAGAGTTGGGCTGCTGCTTAGTACATTACCATATGGTCCGCACTTCCTGGCGCCATCTACTGCCCTCCAGTGCTTCCAGCACACAATTATATACCTCTCAAGATGTCCAATCATTCCATAACAAATCCATTTGAAAAACCCTTCTAATTCCGTTTCTATATCTACTTGGTAATCAAACGATAAAGTATATTACCAACAATGGGTGCACATAAACCGCTAAATTGTTAATAATAAACTATGTTTTAGTCAGTTTATTATTTTCAATAATGAACCATCGTAATCGACTAAAAAATTCAAAAACTTAATCCCCGCTCAAAATTTGAAGTTTTAAGTTTCAGGATATGTATAACTCGAAAATCGAATAAAAATATTTCGTCCGTCCGCCGTCCGCGGCTTTTCTCTGAAATTAGTGTACCGATTTTTTCCAGATTTGGAATAAAAGTCAAAGTCATATTACTACCTACACTTTCCTTTCAAGATGACGGCCACAAAAACTGGTATAGACCTAAGCGCCTAAAAGAATATACCGATTGCAATGAAACTTGCCTTAAGTTCCCTCGGCGGGTTTCCTCGTATATAATCTTTAAATATACTTCACGTAATAGTACTTGTCTTTCAAGATGACGGCCGAAAGACCTCTGCCGTGTAGACTGTAGCGCCTGAACGGATGTAGTGATTTCAATGAAACTTGGCTAAATTCTTCTCCTTTGAAATACTTTAAACTTATCTATATGACGTACTTCAACGAAAGTATCTAGAAAAAAAGTTACGACAGCTGGTAAAATTAAATTTCCGAATTCTTGATGTTCTTGTATATGATTATTTAAAACTCTATGAAATTACTTAAAAATAAAAATAAAATATTGATTAAATCGTACAATTTGGTGCAAAGACATGGTGTTCTAAATATTTTTCATATGTTGGGCTTCAAAGCTTATATATCCTTTTTTCTAGTTCTTGATTTTTTGATAGAGTCACATGAACTAAAGTAGTGTTGTCTATTTTTCTGAGCAAATGACGAATGATGAAAAAAAATTTATATATGGGCCAATATTAGGAATCACTTTATATTTATTTTTCTTTATGTTACAAGAAAAGTAATGTTACTTTTGATGTACGATTGTTTGGATATAATAAACCACTGTGTAATAATTTGCAGCTTTTTTTTTTAATTTTAATTAAAAAGTCCTAGACTAATATTACTATTATTTTTATTATGGATTAAATTTCTTTTTCAACCTGATTGTATATAATCTGTGCGAGATTTGTCTTTTTCAAATAAAGATGTATTCTATTCTAAATAAAAAATAACGTAATCGAAAGGAAACCATATTTATTCTACAATTTTTATTAATTAAGGCATGAAATGTTCCAAAGAACACTGTCATATTCCCGAGGGGGCTGAAACCCCTCTCCTATACATACAAAAATAATTCTTTTTTTAAAATTATTACGCATTTAAATATACAAAGGAAAATAATTAAAGAAGTGATAGTTGACTTCGAGAACTACAAAAATTATTATAGAATTTAAGATTCGTGTTTTTTTTTAAATCTCGCGTTTTTATTTAAATAGGATTTAATAAAATTAAAAAAACATATTTTAAAAAATAAAACTAATTTCCTACTTTTTTGTAGGTATTGGGTAGTGTTGCCCAAATGCGAGATCAAGACGAGTCTTAATCTTGATTTTGCGCAAAAGTCCCACTACAGTCTTGCAGTTACCTATTAGCTTATTATTATATAGATATTATGGGTGATAAATATTCAGGACTGAAGGCTTCTAAGTACTCGTACAGTACTTGAAGCCTAAGCCTTCAGTGCTCGAACCACGCCCTGATGATGACCCACATGTTTCGGTTGAAACGTCGGTACAAATTAAAAAAAAAATATAATGAATGCTTCCTGAATATTTATCACCCGTGATATGTAGAACCCTACTTGGTGTACGGAACTGGAGAACTGCAGCAGAAGACAGAGCCAACTGGCGGAGGCTCTTGGAGGAGGCCCAGTCTCGGTAACGGGATGTCGTGCCACATATGATGATGATGATGATGATATGTAGAAGCTTCCTTCTACAGAGATATTACTGTACTTTTTCAGGTAGGGAAAACCTAACTAAGCCCAAATGAAAATTGGAAGAGTCAAACGCAAAAGTGTATTGGTTATACCAATTCTTTTCATTTAGTAACTAAAATTGTTAAGTATTATTCACTATTTTGCCTTAAATTTTATTTTAAAAAAAACATTTTTTTCACTAGTCTTCGTCTTGATCTTGCAACTGTTCAGCGCCCTTGTTCTTGGTCTTGCAAAGTGCAAGACCAACACCGATTTTGGGCAACGCTAGTCTTGAGGTCTGCTGTGCTTGAACCACGCCCTGATGATGACCCACATGTTTGGGTTGAAACGGCTGTACAAATAAAAAAAAATTATAGTGACTACGTCCTGAATATTTATCACCCATGATATGTAGAACAGTCGACTAACTTCCTTCAATAGTTACCTGTTTAATTTATAATAATAATTAGGTGATATATATATTAAGCGAAATACTCACTATCAAATAGAACTATCGACAAGGTCTAGTTACGTTTAAAGATCTCATTCCTATGGCTTGTTATTGACGGATGGTTGACCTGACTAGTTACATATTATTTAAATTAATCTTCTGTCCCATCTTCTAAACTATTAATTATCTCACAAAATTATTAACACTGCGTAAAAGATGAAAATGTTAATAACTATCGAAATAACCTAAGAAGTAGGCAAGCTTACTACAAGACGGTTCTATCACAGAATTTGTCTTCCTTAAAATTGCTCATACTTAAACACATATTACTAAATAGAAAGTTCAACCGGTATATCAGATCTAAAGATATATTTGTAATTTTTATAATTTATATTATAAAGTTATTCTGTAAGGAAACTAACCAGTTCTCTATTTTTGGCAATGACGAGATAAGAAAACTGGACCGGAACAAAAGGTCGTTAGCAACTTTTTGATAAATAATTCCGTTTTTACAATTAAATTTATCTGGCAGAGATAAATATTCTTCACTGTAACATTTTTATTTATTTATAT